CAAAAAACCCAAAAAACAAAACACCACATCACCGATTGTATTCTCTTATCCTAAAATTACTCTTTTGCAGGTGAGGGTACAGGTCTTCCCAAGAAGTAACAAAGACAGGACAGCTAACTTGCCAAACAAATGCTAACAGCTTCTTCTGATGTATTAGCATGCTTACAACATATGAAGAGGCATTCATCTTTACAGTTTCCAAGTTCAGCACTTACTGTTGTCTCAAAACTCTGCTCTTCCTGTTCCTGTATCAGATAAACTCAAAAAAATAATGTTGCCCAATTAATAACAGCTTGCAGTCACAGCAGGATTTATATGTATTGCTGTTCTCCATTTATGTCCTTATTGCAGTCGATATTAATATTTGCTCCATATTTAAATTGCAGTTTCAGTTATGTTTGTCTTGATTCAGTTATACTCTATTTGAATTGCAGTGTATCTCATTTTCTGCAGCACTGCCAGATATTTGATTATTGGATCGTTCCCAAGGAAATGATATTAATTTAAGATCTATAGGGTATACAGTATGCATACCACAACTGTCAATATACACTGTTGTCTATTAGAAGTATGCTGTGTTTCACCTATTTGTTTTGCTACACAGTGCCTTCATGCACAAACTCATCTAGAGACCTAACATTTGACAATGAGTTGACCTAGAACAGCTAAATAGTCACAAAATACTCTTCCATTTACTAACTTGCTAAGAACTGCATCCATAGGGTTAATTTTTAGGTGGTAACACTTTTAGCGTGTGCTTTGACATTTGGTTATTACTTAGATATATCACAATGTGCTAAACTGTTTTCAGTACATGCAATGACAGCAGAACTTAGATTGAGGCCACCCTGGAAAGAGGGAAAACACAGAAGGCCTTTTAGATCACGGAGTTGAACATTGCAAGTTAAAATACTGCCTATTTTCCTCTTAAAACATATACATCTAGAATTGCAACCACTAGTGCAGTAGATATGTAAACTCATGTTTTATTCCACCAGAGTCCATAGTTCAACAGATAAACATGGTGAAGTACCAGTTCTGTGTATCCTAGAAGGTAGAAGGTTAGACTGTAATATAACAAAGTATTCCTCTTTATACTCTGCTGTGCTGAACTTGTAAACCACACAGTGGATTACCAACGAGTCCAAATTATCTTGCTTTTCTAATGCATCTCTACTGGTTTCAGAGAGCTACAGAGGTTTTGGTGAAAGGTGGGGGGGGTAGGGGGGGAGTGGGGAGAATTCTTTAGTACCCTCTCATCATCTATACATATTGCATAAAAAAGATTAGGGAACAAAATAATTGAAATGAAAATGAAATTTAGTATTGTATGGGAACTCTCCAGTCTATTAGTTACTGGAACTATAAATTGTTCTAACTAAATACAATGTGCGTCAGTGATCCATTCATTTATTTTTTAACTACAGGAAATTTATGTTACTCAAGTGAACTGTGAAGCTTGGTACCAATATTTATTTATGAGACTGCTTAAATTCAGATTAAGAAATAATTTGCCATGTTGAGGAATAATAAGCTAGCTTCTCTTACTCACATTTTCACAGAATCTCTCTTCCCTAGGACTAGCGTGTATTAGTCTTCACAACCTAATGCACCATATTACAACACTGGTACACAGGTTGGCTTATATATTGTAGAATACATGCTCACTTACACATTTCCAGTGTGATACAAAGAAATAAGAAATTTGCACAATTACTAAGAAGGAAAAAAAAACCCAACATCTCATGTTAACAAATCAGAATTCATCACATTAAAAAAGAAAAACAGGAAAAAAACCATACACACAAACCCAACTTTATCAGTGGTGCTCATACATTTAACACTAGGAAGGCTGACTACACTCTGGAAAAGCAGGGAGGCACTTGCAGAAAACCTAGACAGCTCAATTAAATCTACTGAAATGTCATGATTTGTCAGCAGCATTACAGCTTTTTCTTTTATCATAGGAAGTACAGTTCAGCAAAAAAATATTCAGTGTGCTTCTAAAAAGAAGCAAAATATTTTTAAAACAATGCATTTAAATTAACAGTTACCTGCAGAAACAGATTCTCTTTTTTAATTTTACACTGGGCCCTGATCTTTTAAGCTCATGATTAGAAATTCTTAAGTACAAAAATTAAACAGTCTGATTTTTTTTTTCATATCTAGACTAATGCTTGAGACCTTGGGAAGCTGCCATAAAAAGCTAAAAATATTCTGTAGCCAGTAACTATTATAGAGATGAAAGATTATTCATACACTCTAGAGCTTGAAACTACAAAATCCACAGCAAATTTTACAGGATTGAAGGCAAGTAGTCATTAAATCTTCATTTCACTCACACCACTGTAAAATATAAACAATCTAGTACAGAACCCTCCAATATGAGACTATCCATATTGTTTGCCGGCATCTCATTCTTCACTGATGAAATGTAAGAAAGGTAAGGCTGTACTCCTTTAAAAAAATTCTAAAAATGTGTAACTATATAATTTGGATTATTATAGCTTAGGTACATTTGTTTTTCATTAAAATAACCTTTAACTATGCTTTTTAAAATAAGAATTTACAGCAACAGGGACTCATAATTATGACATACTCTTCATTTGCCTCATTAAAATATTGGATGAGTAACTCCCCCATGTTCTGGGGAATGGGAGAAAATAGATTATTTTCTGAGTTAAGAAACACTAAGATTCCTTTAGAATGAGGCTCAGGTTTTTTCTCCCCATCACACTTGTTGGTTTGTCACGTAATTCTACATGCTATAGCACAATTGCAAGGAAAGAGAGATCTCTGTACCATAGCATTACCAACAGCAGTGTTCTGTATATAACACAACTGGATGAAGTAAAATTTCTTGTGCAAACTATAATGCTAAAAATAGCAACTCTTTTTTTTTTTCTAGTAGCCGTACCCAACAGACAGGATTTCTTTTTCTTTCACTTGATCACATCCTCTAAGATCTCCTGTAGCTTTTCTTGCCTAATCTTTAAGAACCATCACACAGGCACCACTCTCAATTGTTAGCTTTTTTCTGGGACAGCATGACAGTTCTACAAAAGCAGCTCTAAGACCTAGTGAAAATACAAAAGAAAGCAGGAAGGAAAAAAGATAATTATATATAATTGGAATTTCTATTCCATCCGTGCAGCAGACAGCATAGGCTCTGCTGAATCAGGAGGATGACGTAGAGGATACCAAGTTAAGCACTGAGGATTTAACTTGTATGAGCCATACATGAAAACTTTTCTATCTGAAGTTGCTTGAAATAAGGCAAGCTAGGAAATAGATGCAACATATGACAACTGCACCAGAATAGTGTTGGTTTGGTTTTAATTTTTATTTTTTCCTCATTCAAACCCCATCTGGTCTCTGAGTCTGTATATGTGTAAGAGGAATAAAGGACAGGGATTTAAGTTCTAAGTGCCTGCTTCTAACCCAACTCTATTTAAATTGTACATTCAAAGGCTTGCCTCCTTGGTTTTATGATTCTCCATACTGCTATTTAAATTATAAATCACCTATTCCGCAGAGCACAGAATACACCCCATTGCAACACTTTGAAGTTCCATGCTTCACAAGTATGGTCTGAGAAGCAAAAGAAGCTGACCTGATCAGTAACCTAGTTACTTGGGTCAGGAAAAAAACCACCAACAAAAACTTATGCCTTTGGCATGCCACCTCTTGACTCTGTCGTTTGTAACCATCTTCTTTCAGGCCTGGAAAATGACACGTATATGAAAACCTTGCAAATCTTTCTCGGACATAATTGTCCTATTGTATATGACCACCGATCAAGTCATGGAATTTCCTCCACACAAAACAACTACTGCAGGTCCAGTATTTTCATTAACTTCTTTTACCAATAACTGTATAATTTATAAATCTGCCAGATGCAACATTTCAGACAGAAAGTCGTTTTGAAAGGTAACAACTCTGCTTTGATTTCATGGGAACTTAAGAGGCCACTGAAGATGAAGAGAGCAAATCACATAAGGCAGCTTTTATGCTCTCTATTTCTTCACAAATTACAGTCTAGGCTAGGATTTTTGAGGATGACTGATGCAAGGCTTTCTCTCACTAAAAGAAATTCTTAACCCTAACTAATTTTTTTTAATAACATCTATGATTTTGCTGCACTTACACTCTAAAAAATGTGTGACAAAATGACCTGCCACTTGAAAAGAAGGCTATGGGAGGACATGAGGAAGAGAAAACTAATAGTCTGCGTACATTCCAATCATCTTTTAAAAAGTCCATCAGCTACAAAGTACATGGGCTTTTCCTCTTCAAAAAAACCTGACTACCTTTAGAAACCACCGAATTCCCAGAAAGACAGACATAAGAGAGTAAATCAGGCCAGAAGCCTTTTAGAAAAATTTCTTTTCAGACTAAGTGAAAGCTGAAGGACTTCACAAATTATATTTTACCTGAGCTACAGAGTGGTAGTCAAGAGAAGAGGTTCATTTTCTATGTGGTAACATCTGATTGCTAAGGACAGAGAACACCACGTTCCCCGGGCTCAGGTGAAATGTGCCTGACTGTCTAAGGTCATTACATCTGGCAACTCCAGCAGATGCAGAAAAGAAAGTTGTCTGTTACACATTCTGAGGTCTGATTTGCACTGCCTCAGGAGGCTGCTGGCCGTTCTGGATTGTGTGGGGAAACCTTCAGGATGAAGAAAGGAAACACCAAAAGAAAGTCCTCAGTGCATGCAATGGTATTTGGCAGATGTCAGATAAACCCTACTTTTTTCAAATAAAATTAAAAACCAGACACCCACAATGATGCAAATGTGATCCACAGACTGGAGACCCAAATGCACCATATACTCCATCTGACTCAAGAGGTTTTGAAAACCTGTGGCAGTCTCTGATTGGCAATAGCATGAAGTTTGACATAAACATGAACAGGCCAAGACTACAGTCATGGTTAATGCCAACAATATCACAATATCTTAATGACCTTTAAACTTCCTATTGCTACTGTTACTTAGTTACCAAGTGTTATCTAAACGTAAACTTCTGTTAAGCTAATCAGTATGCAAAATACAAAATGTTGCTGTTATTTCTTCCTTAGGACTACACCCTGACCATGTACTTCCAGCAGTCCTGGAGGGATAAAAGACTCTCTTACTCTGGAATACCTTTGAACCTAACTCTGGACAACAGAGTGGCTGACCAACTCTGGGTGCCAGACACGTATTTCCAAAACGACAAGAAGTCATTTGTCCATGGGGTGACAGTGAAAAACCGAATGATTCGACTCCATCCAGATGGGACAGTCCTTTATGGCCTACGGTACGTTGGGTTTTTTAATCAGCTATCTGATGGCTGTCCTGGCAGAATGCAAGTCATTATTGGTAAGTGCAGGTAGTACCAATGCTGCTCTCTTCTCCTTTTTCCTGGTGTCTGAGTGCAGCTTTTAATGAGTCAGCACATACTCTATCCAGACTGCCACAATACACTCAAGATTTTTTCTCAGGGCATCAAAACTACCTTTGGTAAAGCCCAATGCTTCTGTCTCTTTCAGTTCTTTTGAGCATGTTAACACTACTGATGAGTTCTTTGTTATGGTTCTTACCTAGTAATTGATCACAGCCTAGAGAAACATTCCTTCCTTCTGAATTTCTACAGCAGTTCTTTAGAACAATATGAAATGTGAGACTGGGAGTCATCTGAAGAAATGTGACCAAGATTTGGTAGGGAGTAAAAAGAAGGCATTTGTAAGTTTACAAGAATTATTTAAAGATTATCTGTATGCCTGGGTTCAGGTTCTTTAATCTGCCTTGGTTTATCACTGCCTCTGCATGCCACAACTGCTTCTTCGTACAGTGCAACCTATATTCACCCCGTAGGTAAAAATATATTCTAAAATCTAAACAGGCACAATCTAATGATAAGGTCCAGAAGTATAAAATTAAAACTAAACCAAGTTATTTGTTATGCTGAGATTGCTGCCGAGCCTGAGCAGGCTTTGCAGTATTTTTTTAAGAGTTAAGGTAGTTATGCTTAGGGAAAAAAAAATAAATAAAAACCCAACTGCCTGAAACAACCTTTGATCACTGTCAACAAGGAAAATAATGTCCAGAGAACATAAACCTGAACACATACTTCAGTTAAATAGAAGAAAGAAAAAGTAATAAAGCAGAAAACCTAACTGAAATATTTCAAAATCGTACCTAAGATAGGGTTAGAAAAAAACAAATTGCTGCAGCAATTCAAAATGAAAATAAAGTTTGGAGAAAGATAACTCAGAGCTTGCTGAAAACAGAACTTTGACATGACCTCTTGGCCTATAAAAATATAACCTTTATAACACAACACTATCCATGCACTCAAAGCCTTCCAACTCATAAATTCAAGCTTGACGAGACAGAAAAAATAATATAAAAATTATTATTTTGGTTCATTATGCTTTCCTTTGAACTTGTTAGATTCTCTGGTAATGCATCAATTGCTACCAATGATCACACAGGCATTTAGATACAGCCAGATATGTACTGGTTTAGAAAAACTGCTACTTCAGTTGTGAAAAATAAAACAAAGGACCCATGAGGAAATAGCTGATAGACTACAGGCTTTCCTTATAATCTGCTAGAAAGAGAATTTGAAAAATACATCTTTCCCATTGCCTTCAGACCTCCTATAGTTCCTTTCAATCAAACTGACTCCTGAAATTCAACTTAGCAGAGCAGTTATCATTAGAGGATTTTGGGGCATGAAAAGTTTTAGAACTTAAAAAATAAGTAATAATTTTTTTATTTTTTCTTGATGCCAGGAACCAAATTTATTTACATTCCAGGATTTGCTTAGTGGCAACAACGTGCATTAGAGCCAAGTAGTGCAACACAAGCAGTTATAAACAATATAAACAACACCTAGAAATGTACATTACACAAGTGCTTCCACACACATGCCATACGTCTGTTATTAATAATGGTCTTTGAAAAAATAGCAAAAGAAGCCGTGACACACCTGGTGAACACCTTTGCTCTTCCTCTCAGAAGCAGTCAGGCAAACCTCCAGTGCAACAGAAAAGATGGTCACCTTCACATAACAAGGTTGCTAATTCATATGATTAATTAACCATTCACACTTGAATTGGATAAGCAGCAGCCATGCAACTGCAACAGCTGCAGCTCTTCAACTTAATACCCCATCCAATACCTCACTGCTTTCAGTAGGAAAACCAAACAAAACCAAAACCCAAACAACAAAAAAAAGACCAGACTAAAATAAAGTGCAATCTATATACCACACATTTGCAGTCTAGTACTGCAGTGCGAAGCTAACAAACAAGCAGAAGAAAGAATGAATTTAAGGGACACTGAAGCAGGTTTCATACAGCAGACCACAATTATTGCACTAAGTCTGCATCTATCAGTGGTCACTTTCCTCACAGCAATAAATGTGTTTCTGTCACCTTACAGATTACCTTTAGATCATACAAACAGCAATTTCTTCATATACCAGATAACACATACAGCTCATAAGAAATAAAAAGTGAGAAAACACTGCAGAAAATGTTCTCAGGTAAAATTCCACGTTGCCTGTTAGAAATTTTACAACAGCTCCAATCTTAGTCTAAAAAGTAGAGAAGAAACTTTGCAACAGATCAGCTTATGTTAAGCCTCTATGCAGCAGAGAGCATGAAAACAGCATCACCAAACATCTCTTTTTCGCTTTTAGTACTGAAGACAGAGCATTGACCTGGCACTACTTGAACAAGACAGACAACACCAATTATGCTGCAGAACAGTATGTGAGTTCCTAGCAAAATAGGCAGGGCCTTAAACCATCTCTCAAGGATGATTTAAATGCTTGCTTTCCCCAATGCCTCTAATTCCCCACACATTTTTCTGTTTTCATTCCAGACTTAATGCTTCCTTTCAGGCTCAGATATGGAATTTTACTGGCATCTTTAAACACAAATTGAAACAATCATAGCAGTTCTAAATAACCTACTTTGTATCCATGTACTCAGCAGTTTGGCATTAATGTAATGTTCAGTCTCAGAACTGAAGAAAAATAAACTAAGGTTAATCTTCTGGCTTTACAGGTGAATAAACAAGGGAAACTTGCACTGAATATGGTGGATTGGTTTTAGATCATATAACAAAACATTATCACACTTCAGAATGTCTCCGTCCTAATATTTCTGTGATGAAATAACCAGTCCCTTTAGCTACTTTTTCCAGTAACTTTCAGCTGCTGTATCCACACAGTTTAAAGAATGATGTGTACAGAAACTTGTGCAGACACAGAATACTCCATACCTTCTGGCTTCTAAAATAGTGCATTGCTGTCATGTCTTATTGAAAATGCTACTTCTCTTAATTATTCACAATAGTGAATAACACATAACATTACTAAGTAACTCTTTCATCCTTTTGCCCAAACAACTAAACACACAAACATGTTTAATTCCACATTAATATTTCCACTGAACTCCATTTCAAATATGCCAGGAAAGTTGAGTGTTACTATTAAGTATTACGGACTTCTCATGGTTTAACCCCAGCCGGCAACTGAGTCCTACTCAGCCACTCACTCACACATCCATCCAGTGGGATGGGGCAGAGAACTGGTAGGGTAAAAGCGAGAAAACTCCTGGTTTGAGATAAAGGCAGTTTAATAGAGGAAGCAAAAGATGCGCATGCAAGCAAAGCAAAACAAGGAATTCATTCACCACTCCCCATCAGCCATTTCCAGGAGAGCAGTGCTCCATCACGTGTAACAGTTGGGAAGGCAGATGCCATCTCCAGATGTCCTCTTCTCCCTTCTTCCCCCCAGCCTTATATGCTGAGCATGGTGCTCTATGGTATGGAATATTCCTGTGGCCAGTTGGGGTCAGCTGTGTTGGCTTTGCTCCCTTCCAGCTTCTTGTGCACCTCCTGCCTCACTCGCTCAGCATGAGAAACTACAAAGTCCTTGACTTCGAGTAAGCACCGCTTAGCAGCAAATAAAACTTCAGTGTGTTATCAACATTATTCTCAGAATAAAGCTGAAACACAGCACTGTACCAGCTACTAGGGAAGAAAACTAACTATCCCAGCCAAAACCAGGACAGCTATTATTATTTTCTGTGATGTAGCCGCCTGCTTCCTAAGAGAAAAAAATACCTTCAAGTCAATATGCAAACCTGCAGCACTGTAAGGCTGGTGTCTGAGACAGCTCTAGCCTGGTCCCAGTACAGCTGGCAGAAAACTGTATTCTTCTTATTCTTCCCCCCATTTTTAATAAGTCATCAGATACCGTTAGCTATAACCCTTTTGGCACTAGCAGCATGTCTTAACGCCTCATTACTTTCATTGCTTTTTCAGGTAAGATTCTCTAGAAATATCTCCCAAAGATCTAGATTCTCAGACCAACACGTTGCTCTTTCTTTTGCTTGTCTTTTGTCCCTCTTTCCCAGGTAAGATGCTAGACATGTAATTTGTCTTTAAGACATTTAAGGAAAAGTTAATAATTTATTGTACTGAATTACATATTAAAATTCTTATGTCATGATGTCAAGAATGGAAGTTCTGATTTAAATCGTCCTTTCCTGTATTTTTCTGCTGTGTCTTAATTCTTCTGAGCATTTCATTAGCAGAGCCATGACAACTTGTTGCTTCTTAAGTGTCTGTTCTGTTTATTTTGAGGCAATGTCATGATAATATCAGCAGAAATTCATCTGGTGTTGGTAAAAGAAGCAGATCCTTCAAAAGGATTAGTTGTTAAGAACTGCAACATGTCTTCAGTGATACCTTTATGTAGATTTCCCTCCCTTCCAATGTTCACACACAAAACCCATCTTTCATCAGAGCAGGTGTTCATTTGTTTAAAAGCAGGGAGTAATATCATGACAAGGAGTGAAGATCTGTTTTGGAGCATGGAAAATTTGGTTTTAGCAAGAACACACATTTTTAGTCCCCTGCAGCAGAGGATGCCACTTTGCTGGGCACTGCAAGGGGACACAAAGAATGATCTGTGCCTTCAACATAAGGACTTATTTCACCACTTACATAAAGAAGGTATTCTGTGGCATACATTGTCAGACAACATTGTCAGACACATCCATCTACCTCAAACCAATTCAAAAACATGAATTGAGCCATGAGACATTTGACTTACTAAATACTTATTCATATGATATCCACAGGAGCCATTCTAGCATATCCTTAAAGTGGAATACAAGAAAAGCTATATTAAAATGCAGAATGCTTTGGGTTTAAGTATCATCTTAAAAGTAAATTTGAGTGTAAACTTCCCTTCCTGACTCTCTTTCAGTGATCTATCTGAGTGTTAATAAAGGA